ACGTTCGATGGAAATGCAAAAAAATCCTCCGATTTTGGTGAAATGTAATGTTAAAGGATTTTCAGGAAATGACATGTGTATTTATTAACGTTTCGAAATTTTAATTTATAACGCTTTAATCTTAGACTCGTAACCCTTTTTTCTTTCGAATTTTTAAATTTATTGAGCCTTATTACTGTTATATTATATAGATTAATATAAATATAAAACACAGGCAAATAAGAGTACATCATAACTTGCGTCTTTCTAATCGCGCTATACTCTCATTAGCCTTGATTTTCTTTGTTGTATTAAAATTTAAGTCTATATTTTAATTTTATATTACAGAACATTTATTTGATTACTTAACTTATGAACTTTTTATTCTTAATATGAAATCTGTTTAATAGAAAATTTATTAGGTGTTAAACTTAATTCCTATCGCTCGCTACTAGAGGGCTCTGCCTCCAACGCTGACGAGTTTCGACGATAAAGTCACATGTCTTTTGTAGTTTAAACATCGCTGAAAGTGATTCAATCCTCACAGGTTAGATTTCTCGACGCCAAAGAGATTTTCCAAGCGATTGAAAATGAATCGCGATCAGCTATTTTTCCGACATGTGCTTCTTCACTACTTCGACTTTAAGAAAACCGCATCGCTTATTATTATCCGAAGTGTATGGTAATGAAACTCCATCGGAACCAACATGTACAGTTTGGTTTCAACGCTTCCGAAACGGTGATTTTAATGTGAGAGACAAAGAACGTCCAGGGCAGCCGAAAAAGTTTGAAGATGTCGAGCTGCAAGAATTGCTCGATGAGAATCCAGCCTAAATGCTTTTAGAGTTGTCGGAACAGTTAAATGTTACTCCAAAGGCCGTCTCAAAACGCTTGCATGCCATGGGAAAGATCCATAAGGAAGGGAGATGGCTACCACATGAGTTGTCAGAAAGTGCCATTTCGAATCGTTCGAATATTGCGACTTCTTTGCTTGCCAGGCAAAGAAAAAAGAGTTTTTTGTGGCGCATCGTGACTGGCAATGAAAAAT